AGAAGGTTCCTAAGCTAAACTGACTATTCGACTGCAGCCTCGGTCTCTCTTCTTCCCAACATGGCGCTGTGCGTGTGATTTGACTCTGTTTGTTTCAAAACTCGCGCGTTACTTCATTAAAGTACACATTTGAACTCTTTCCGGACTACATTGTCACTTTTTAACTTCCTCCTGGACTCAAAGAACAACGAACACATCTACACCCCCAGAATTCATATCTATTGTCAAGGAAAACTCTCCTGTGAATGTTTTTCCTCGAATCTGACAAGGGAGTTAGCCCCTTGCGCGCATCGACGTTCGAAGGTGAGCCCCTCAGTGGCAGCTAGGACGGGCGGGAGAAGATCTCTCGCAGGTTGATGAGGAGGGAGGGTAAATGTCGTGGCAATTTGAATACAATTCAGCCAGGAGAGTTCTATCATAACGAATTCCGGTGGTTGGGAGCTTCACAATAATGATCGAAAATTACATGGCACTAAAGGACCACCCTACATTACATTGTATATTACAATGAATATATGGTGATTCATTTAGATGTTTCCCTCTTTCTCCTAGTGTTTTGGTGCATGTGTCTGCAGAGGCTAGAAGGTATCGTAGCAGTCTTTTTTATCTCATTTGTATCATGGATCAAACAAACATTGTAGATAAAACCTTTTTATTAAGTTAACAGTTTTTAGAAAGAATGCTTTATCATTAAAAAAACACACATTCATCACGTAAACAGGGTCAGCGTTCCTTTATATAAATCATATATATACTGCTCTGTGAATTTTCTTTACCTTGATCTATAGTGGTACTTTACAAACATTACACACCAAATATATGTCTTTATGTAAATTAAAGATCCCTTTAGAGCGACAGGAGTGGAGATTGCTCTTTACAGACATGTTTAACCTTTCTGAGCAGCAGCTGATCTAATCGCGCTCCAGACTATGAGTGGGAGGATAAGGTCAATAGTCTCTCTGGAAAATCCTATCAACAGGCTTCTCTCTGTTGTCTCACTCTGCAGACTACACCACCAGATCTACGTCTTTATCCAATAAGATCGCTTGAGTACCAGATATATACACGATGTAGCTAGACCGGTTAGCCTGCTACTGCGTTCATCCTGAACAAAGTTAAAAACAAATATTACACCTCTTGAATCCACTTGGTTCCCTCCACAATGTATATTTTGGGGTGAACGTCTAGTCCAAGGAAAATAACCAGACAACGTTCAGCAAGGGATATAAGTCTACTCCCAGTATATAAACCCCCTCTATGATTCTTGGATAGACGGTATATTTAATGCGGATAACGTCCGTTAGTTTACATTGCATATAAAGCGCTCACCGACCAGCCAATCAGGCGTCACCTAATAGACCCTTCAGCTACTTCAACGAGCACACCACGGGCTATAAGGACAGCAGAGACTATAAAAAAAGATTGACTTGAGCCCGTCCTGTGATAAACTGGAAAGTGAAAAACTGCATATGTCGTCACGAACACAATACTAGCTATTTCAAAAATAATCCTGAACTAACGCTCAAAGAAGCGTTTTATGATACTTCCAGAACAATTTGGTGATAACTAGGACAAGTCACACATAACACGTATGCATGACTCTAGTATTAGGATTGGTACTATCCATTGTCTTCCACGCACTCAGCTACCTGTCTCTTGATCATGCTCTTATTTATTTATTTTCCAGTAAGGACCAAATCTGCGTTTCTCTAACAGGGCTTTCTAGAATATAAGGTGTTTGAGCGATCATGATGCAATATATGTTAGCACATTATACAGTATTAAGATAGAATACATGGTGTTCTTGTTGAGTTCTCTCGCAAAGGCAGCAAAACTACAAAAGTGAGCTGACAGATCAAGGACCGCTAAAATAATTAAGCCTATTGCATAGTACGACTTTCAGACAGCACGGCGACACGATACTCTCGCGGTTGTCGTAGACGGAGGGCAAGGCGGAGGATGCTCACAACTTGTAAAGGTCACCTATGTTATCAAGCAATCTTTAGTTAATCACTGTGAATATTCAGAGGATCTACTGTGCTAGCATCAAGACAATAGTCCATCACTCGGCGCGCCGCGCACGCTCGCTCTCTCGGAAGAGAGAGATCGGAATAGTTCACTGACAGAGAGTAAGGAATATGTCTGGTAGTATCAAAACAATCCCACTATGCCGGATTTATGAACCCTGGGGAGGCCAATC